AAAATTCACAAAAACCCATGAGAAGTGACCTCTGCAATTCTGGAAGACTTAAAAGCAGATAATAAACATGGCCAGATGCAGAAATCATCCTAATCAATTTAATGTTTTGTTAGAAGTATAGTGTAACTAATAATAATTTAAAATTTGTCTGAAATAATCCCAATTTTTATTCAGAGAAATTTGAACTAATACAGATTTTTTTTTAATTTATTTTTGTTTCTATCTTAATGTTAAATTCAAAACAGTTGGCAAGCATTTCCCATGAAGTACACTACCAGAAAAACAGCTATGAAGAAAGCAAAATAGGAGTAGAATATTTCTGCCAGAATCCCAGCAGCCGGTTTCAGAACAAAGATTATAGAGGACAAAACTAAGTTTGGATGAGCATCATCCAGTAGTAAATGGCAGATGGTTTACCTTCTATGTAGTCCTCTGCAATGTAGCTATGCTCGTGCAGTATTTCCTCCATGCGACTGAGAGTGATGGCAGCAAAATGTCCTGGGTATTTCAGCTGAAGGAGGCGTTGGAGATACACAGCTGCTTGACACCCTCCAAGATTAATACGTTTGCAGTTTTTAGCATCCAACCTGGAAACACAGAGAGACACAACTGATATTGGAGAGATCCACAAGTTCAGCATAAAACAGATGGCTTACCTTCCCCAGTATTGTCTAATTTCTGATAAGGTTAAGTAGACAGGTGAATATTCACATTTCAAGGCTCAGCTATCAGAGAATCCAACGCATCTGCTTTTCTCAGACAATAAGCATAATCACTGATTACTGCTTTGTTTATTGCAGATACTTTTTGAAAGGCTCTGTTCTGCTTTAGAAAGCCCCAAACTTTAAATAATTTTGGCTATAGTAAGGAAAGGTTCTATTTTAAGAAGGGATAAGTGGAGCTAGAAGTGGTTCCTTTAACCTTTGTAACATTTCACAGTTGGCCAGGTATAACCCTCAAAAATTTGAAGCATCTACCAGATATAATACAGCCATTTCCTGCAGTATGGTTTAAAACAAACAAGCAACAACAACAAAGAGAGTAGAGCAACATAAGCAGCGTAATCAGAATAAGAAAAGCCTCAAGAACTGCAGAAATCTCAGAGCACTTTCCTTTGTCCCAAAACGAAACCTAATGTGTTTTTTTAATGCCTGATCTTACCTGGGGCAGATATCCCCTTCTATTTTCAAAGTACAGACCTATGCACAAGTAGTAACTAAAAATACAATATGTATAAGGACAGCACTGCTTCTTCAAATCAAAATTAAACAGCACTTAGTATCTACAGTATAAATTCAGACCTGAAAAAAGCTTGTACTGCAGGAGCTGGAATACTGAATGCCAGAGGAATAGGGATTTGCATCACTAAAATATCAATGCCTGACAAAGTGAGGGTGCACCATTCTTAAGACACCAAGAACTCACCTGCCTTCTAAGACCGGCAAAATGTGTGTACACTGGTAACCTGAAGATATTACCAAACCACTGCAGGGCCAGTTCTGCCTTCTGTTGTGGTAAAAACTGTACAAACTATCGACGCCATAGGACACTTTTGGCACTTGGTAACATTCGAAGAGGAGCTCAGACATCATTTGTCTTGAATACAGAGGATTGCACACCGCTTCTGTCAGAACAATTGGATGATCAACACAACCCTGTAAGAGACAAAAGAAAATAAATATAATCAAGGCAGTATAGGAAAATCCAGGAATACTTGTCCTTGCTTTTTCTTTTGAACATCAGCAAAAACTCCTCCAAAACAGCAGCGAGAAAGCACTTAATGTGCAAGTATTAATCATGTAAGATAAATTATATCTAATACTTAAGGGGGTAAAAAAGAAGTGTTATCTACAATGGGGCTTCCAGTGTTAATTCAACCAAAGAATAAATTCCTAAGGGTGAAGGAGAATGGATTTTTTAAAGCATATATCATAGAATTGTCTAGGTTGGAAAGGATTTTTAAAATCATCCAACCATCAACCTAACGATGATAAAAAACCATCACTAAGCACTATGTCTACCCATCTTTTAAGTACCTCCAGGGATGGTGCCTCAACCATTTCCCTGGGCAGCCTGTTCCAAGGCTTAATATCCCTTTCCGTGTAAAACTTTTTCCTAATATCCAATCTGAACCTCCCTTGGTGCAACTTGAGGGTGTTTCCTCTTGTCCTATGGCCTGTTCCTTGGGAGAAGAGACCAACTCCCCCTGGCTACACCCTCCTTTCAGGGAGTTGTGGAGAGCAATAAGGTCTCCCCTCAGCCTCCTTTTCTCCAGGCTGAACCCCCCCAGCTCCCTCAGCCGCTCCTCACAAGACTTGTGCTCCAGACCCCTCACCAGCTTTGTTGCCCTAAATGATATATGAATATATATTAATAAATGAATTATTAAAATCTAAATAACCAAAAGCTATGGAATGAGGAGATGAAGTGTGAGGAGATGAAAATTGGTAAAAATCTGCCATGCAGGCAAAAGGCTTCGTTGGTCTGAGGAGCAACCCTCAGCCCAGCCGGGCACACAGAAGAGGCAGGCAATGAGCACTGTACAAAAGCAGTAATGTTTAACACATCCTTCTCAAAAACCACCCGATTCTCAGCCACAGCCTGACAAGGCGCCACAGCCCAAACCCCTCACCCTGCAGTTGCCTTCTCCCGCCTTCCTTTCACCACAAAACCATGAAGAAATCAGGAGAACATCAGGTTTCAAGAGACACCCCTGGGGAGCACCAGGCCTGGCCAGGGTCACCACAGCAGGTTCCTAAGGGCCCGGCCACCCGGGTGACGAGTTTCTGCGAGGAGGGGGACAACCAGGGACGGTGCCGGACCCCCCATTCCCACCACAAACCCAGTACAACCTCCTCCTCCACCCAAACCCCCCTCAGGGCCGGGCCTGGTTTCACCGGCGGCCTCAGGGCCCCAGCCCGGCGTCCTGACCCCCGACCTCCCCGGCCCGGCCGTACCTGTGAGGAGACGCCGAGGCGCTGGAAGACGTGGTCGAGGAGCAGCTCCTGCAGCTCCAGCTGGACGGGCACGTTGCGGTCGAAGGGCGAGCGGAGCAGCCAGCGCAGGGGCTCGGGGCTCCCCAGGTCGTTGCCCACTTGAGTCTCGGCGCCGGCCCCGCCGCGGGCCCCGCGGCTGCGCGCCGCCAGCGAGCGGAACCGCAGC